TATCCCGAGGTATCACTGTATTTTATTCTGGTATGAATCATTTTCCAAAATCATTGAGTTTTACAGTATTACCACCAGAAGTGAAAGAATTATCAGACCTGCTTATTACATTTCCATCAATTTATACAAGAGGTGATATTGGGGGGCTTTATTTTTGCAGCTTGAAGAATATGAAAAAAAATATAAAGCAAAGTTATATGAAAGCAACAGCATTCATGTTTTCAGAAGATACTTGCATAAGATTTTAAATGAAGTTGGAAGACTTGGCCTAGTGAGTACCTGAAAATCATAAAAGAGTTTGCTTTTATTGTTATATATGTTCTCTCATTAAAAGCCATTGCTAAAGTATCTTGTACAGCTAGTCCATGAATTTGAATAACTAACTGCCCAACTATTTATTTTTTCATTTCTTTATTTTCCCATTTTTAGAAATATAATTGGGCTATCTAACAAATTAAATTGCATATATCAGTCAAGAAGCAAGCTATAAAAGTAGCTGAGAGCAGTTGTTTGAAATGGCCTTGGTTTGCTTGATTTTCATGTGTAACAATTTGAAATAGAATTGATCTTTTTTTAATATAATACAGTCTTGGGCCTGGGGTTTTCCTAACTATGTATGAAATGGATCAGTATGATCAAGTACTCAGGAGGATGCTGATGCCATAAAGTAGATGTAGCAAACCTTTTTGGGTGATGGACACTTTTGGAATCCTGTTTCCATGTTGTGAGTGAACTCACAAAGTAGTTGCAAAGAGAAGGTATTTACCTATTTACAGGTTTATTTTATTTTTATATATCAAATTTGTCACCACCTGTCTCATTAAAAAGCGACTCTGGGCAGTTTATAGAAAAGATAAATATTAATTAAAAATACAATATAACAATAGTCCTAAATAAATAAGTATATTCTAAGGATTGATGCTAACTAGAGAGTATTAGGCTTGGGGAGCATCATCAGGGCGCCAGCCATTCCCAGAATTAGTTAAAGCTCTTCTTGCCCCACACAAGCTGGCAGAGCCAGGTCTTCAGTTCTTTCCAGAGAGCCAGGAGGGTAGGGCCCCACTGCACCCCTTGGGGGGGAATATTCCAGAGGCTGGAGCAAAGGCAGAGAAGGCTCTCCTCCTGGGCCCCACCAGCTGACAGGGTCCATAACACACCTTGTTGCCAACATAACTTGTTACTGCTGTAGTGGGCTTGGCAAGTCACAAAAATACTAGAAGGTGAACTCAAGTTTGTAACCTCACTCAAGAGAACTGGCTGGGTTTATTATCTAAACCTGCCTATAATGTCTGGGTGGGGCCCAAAGGTATTCCTGTAAATGTAAAAGGAGGCTGGCACTTTGCTTGGCTTCACAGTAGTTTCTCATTTAATTTTTTGCATTAACAATTAAAATCATTGTTAAAAATTTTAAAGGGCACAGTGGCTGGTACCTGCTACAACAACATCCAAATTCTGCTGTGACTGGGGATAGTAGTTTAGCATCTTTAGTGTTCGGAGTACAGGTAGTCCCTGGGTTAAGAATGCCTGGTTTACAGATAATCCATCATTAAGAATAGAGCCTGTTGTAGCAAAATTCAAGTTAAATACACAATGATTCGAGTTAAGTGCACAGTGGTTCGAATTCATTACATAATACACAGTGTTCCAGCTTACATATCCATTAGATTTAAGGACAGACCTTGGGAATGGAATTTGTTCTTAAACTGGAGACCACTTACATTGTGTAATCAAATTCACATTTTCTTATCTCCTTATTCTGGAGGCTAGTCCTTCTTGGCCCAATGAAAGGCCACCCAGTCAAGATTTAGCATATGACTGACCAACTGTGATTGCTTTGTATGCTATTTATTCTTGGTCCTTGCAAAATAATTTTGGTTGCTTTGATTATTGTGTGTTTTCTTTTAGCCCGATGTTAATACCAGAGATGTGCATTATGATGCTGAGATCATCCTCACCAGACAATCAGTTAATGAAATTAACAAGTTCCTTAAGGAAGAAGGCTGGAAATCTGCTTCTCTGGATGAAGCTGTTAACAGTATTCTGATTAATTTTAGACCTCATGATTATGAAGCATGGAAATGGAAGTTTGAGGACACATTTGGGGTTGATCCATATAATGTCTCCATGGTAAGGGAAGGTTTCTGAAATACAAATGTCTTATTTCATAACATGGATAGCAAAATGGCTGTGTTCATACACATAACACTAAATTAGTTTTAATGATGAACAAACTGTAATAGAAATGCACATCATGCTAAGCAGAAATCAAACAAATCACACACCAATAATATGAGAACCAGGCAAAATTTACGTGATTTTTCTCACTAATGATGGAACACCTCGATTTTTTTGTTCATTTCTTCAAAAATTAACAAAAAAGATTGAACTGCTGATTTAGGAGCCAGATAATTCTATTGTCGCAAGTAGTTTCCTACTGGGAGTTCGATAGAATTCCTGATTATTATGCTGTTTATTCAGGAGTGCAAAAACAAAGTGATATGAAGCATCCTTTAGTTCGTGATGCATTATCACAAGTTAGACAAGATGAAGGTAAATCATACTTATTTAAATCCAATTTATTCAGCATATTTTTAATCACAAGGTAGAAATGTGTCTATTGGAATTAATAAATGTTCGCCAACTATATTCCTATATTCTTTGGGTTTTTTTCTCCAAAAGGTACTTTTGTGTTTAGCATCCATCTCAGTCATTATTGCAACAGAATTATGGACACATATTGGTTGGGCTACTCAACTGAAACGTCTCATATTCATCAGTTTTCTCATCAGTTTTGGATGGAACTGGATGTACCTATACAAGGTAAACAACTCCATTTATTTAGAAAGCGTGGGGTGGATGTATGTATGTTTGGCCTCAAAAAAACACTTGCATGTTATAGTGCTCACTGTTTAATTGTATAGTCTCAGCAACACAGGTACATCTCAGCTAGTGCTGAATTAGTGCCTGCTAAATGGTCGCATTATTCAAATTTGCACTATTCAAAGTGATATTTCTATGAAAAATAGGATAATTGGTTCCAGCTTGACCAAAATACACAATGAAAATTTTTAAATATAAAATTTTATGTTTATTAATGAAATATAACAGTAAAAGATTAAAAGAATATACTTACAACTTAAATTTATTTTTAACGAAGTCACAGAGTGGTTATTTAGAATTTTTTGTTTTTATTTTGCCTTCGATATCATTCCTAAAGGTAAGCTTATATTGACAAAAACATCTTTGTCATGTAATGAAGGAAGTGGTAGAAAGATTATTACCTAGACCTACCCTTCAGTTATTTTTTATGTGATGTTAGTGTTTTTTATTGCTTTCTAATGGATTATAACCTGCCATGAGATCTTCTAGATAGACCTCATAAATATTTAAAATAAATAAATCAAGTGAACAAAGGACAAGCTGGAGGATAAACCCATATCCAAAGCGTACCTGCTATCCCTCGTACTCTGCTGGAGTTCTTCAAAATGAGGCTCTTCTTTTTTGAGCTTTTCTTGAACGGAACCTTCCTCTTCTCCATTTTGCACATATGACAATTAGTGTGTAAAACCCCAACGGCAATTCTGTGTGCGCTAGCTCGCATTAACTGAATTTTGGCTCACATTAAACGTGACCTGGCATCAATTTATAATTTACACTAAACCAAAAATCACACTATTTGAACTCACATTAATCATGACCTACATGTATTCTGAATAAACTACAGTTTTCAAACTGAGGTACTTATTTTGCCACATACATTTTGTTTTTTGTTCAATAGGCAGTGACAGACAGCAGGCAGTATAAGCAGCAGGGCTGCTTCAAGATTTGACTGATTTGTGCTTGCTTGCTAAAATGTAGAGATTGGGTATGTTTGGAGACCATGATGTTTATCTCCGTACCCCCAAAATGGTAACTAAAACCATAATAATTCTCACTTATGTTTTTAGTAAACTGAAGAGGCCACTTCAAATCCTAACAGACTATGAAGCTGGTTTGTTTCAACAAAACATAAATGGTTATGGTATTGGCAGCCTTCTAATTCCACGATTATCTATGTTTTGTTTAGAAATTAGTTTTGTTCATAAATGATTTAATAAAAAGCTTCTGCTCTAAAATACTGTCAGCCTTTGTTTAGCAGTACAGATGTGATAACTTTGCTCTGCAAAGGAAGCTCACTAGGTGACGTTTGCCCAGTCAATGTCAGCCCAACCAATGTCACAGGTTGTGGTGGGGAAAAATTGGAAGAGAGAATCTATACCACCTTGCATTCCTGAAAGAAAGGCATGGGATATAAACCTAATTTAAAAAAATAAATTCAATAAATTATGAGTAGCTAGTAACCTACCCCAGATGGATATTGCTGTTGAGCCCATCTAAGGACATCCATCCTAATGGTGGATAGAGGATCTCATCTGCTGCTGACATGAACAGTTTTTGCTGATGGGGGAAAGGTTTAGAGAATGTGGAAGATAGGATCTTCTTTTTATATCTTCTTTGTTTTTTCTTGCTTTTCCTCAAGTTCATCTTATTTTCACACCAGTTGGTCTTAAAGGGTTCAAGAGCTTTGGGGTCTTACTTGTTTATTTCTTGCATTTGGCATTTCTGAAGTTGGAAGAGTGGTACTTCTCCTAGGAGGATGTGAGGAAACAGTAAGTCTTGTTGGTAAGTGGAAAAGAATAGACCTACCCATTCCAGCATTCTCTCTAAGCATTGCAGACAAAAAACCTCCCAGGACTCCAATTTCCATGTTCCGTTATTAGTCTCAACAGTGATGAATCTGTGTTGGAGGTCTTTCCTTTTAAGGTACTTTTTAAAAGAAAGGCAAAAAAAAAATAGATTCAGTGATTTTATTCAAGAATTATTGAATCCTTTAGTTTTTGTTGTAGAAAGCCTTTGCTCAGCATCAATCTGAAGTGGCAAAACTCGGAAATTTTGATAAAGTCTGTGTGGAGAAGATTCAATGGACAGACAGCCTTTTGGGTGAGTAGCTTGTCACATCTGCTGCTATAACCTTTACATGCCTGACATCTTTTAGAAAATACTAAAGTTTTTATCCTTATACTGCTTTTCCTCTCACAGAAGCTCAAAGCAAGTATATGAAAAGGAAAAATCACAACAATAAAACCATCAGTGAGAAATGAGACAACAAAATGAACAAGAAGCCATAGTTGAAAGAAATGCCATTATTAAAAAGTGATTTGAAAGGAAAGCAAGCCAGCCTTGGACCCTGGAATGTCTAATGGCTTTATTGGAGGAGCAAATCATTTGAGCAGATAATCAGATAATCTTCTGAGAGACTTTTCAATGCCCCAATGGAAAATTTAGCTAACTAGTTCTACAGTTTTGAAAAGGATTTACAGACATTTTGACAGGACCAATTAATACTTGGATGTCTTCAAATCCTGAAGCCTTTTATTTTCAGTTATGCCTCAGTTGCCAGAGAAAAGGAACCCCTTCCTCCAAGGGTCTTCTTTAGGAGGTTGCCTCTTCCATTAGCTTGAGAGCTGTCAGCCCTTCAAGGTAGTCCAGACAGGAAACCATAAGCAATAACAGAATCTTGCAAGTCTGAAAGCCAGAAATCTTCCGGAAAACTAGGGAGGTTCCCTTTTTGAGACACTTCCCACACCCCTTTTCCTTCTGTTGGCTGAGATACCTTTTCCATGACGGTTATCTAGACTGCGGCTCTTCCTCCTGTCTCCCAAGGTCATTCCCACATATCATTATAAGAGCTCTGCCTGGCTTTTCAGTCTAGGACCAGGATCTACTGGAGGGACTCTTAAGGGATGAAATTGGCCTTACTTACTCTGGGATGGGAGGGCTCTATGGGCTACAAAGAGGATCCTGATTAGCCACACTTTTTGTACACATAGTCTAATTGGCAGTCTAAAATTCTCTTTCATGGTCATTCTGCTAAATTAAATGATTGGATCTAGCATAAGTGGATGAATCATGTCTGTAGTTCCATAGCCTGCAAATAGCTGAGGAAGCTTTCATAAAATCATCAGAAATGCTATACTCTGAAGAGGTTGAGGTCTTTATAGAATTATCCATCATTTCTGCCCTGCCCTGCCTTCTCTTCCATGTTATCCTGCATTTTGAATATGTAGTTTCTGAAAGAGTTAAGTGGCATTTGGCAGCAACAGAATCCAGGTTTAGACCCTTAGGTCACTCCAGATGAGTAACAAGGGGCTTATTATCTTAAATTCATATTAAGTTTATATATATATTATACACACACACACATACATACATATATATATATAATAACTATATATAAATATATGTATATAATATATAAATATAAAATACATAAATATATATTATATATAAATATAAATAAATGAATTATCTTAAATTTAATCCTTTGTCTTTTATTGGGCCATATACAGTTTGTTGCTTGATTCTGCTGGTATTTAATACCTTATTTTCACATTTTCTTGGAATCATTTCAAATAGAAAGTTGAACCTTGATAAACTCTTCATTTTAATGGCTCCAGTTCTTCCTTATCAAACAGCTTTAACTTTCTCCAACTTAAAATATCTGCTGTTATATTGTTCCAGCTCTG